AATGATTTAAAGATGATCCCATCAGAATGGGCGCTCAAAATTATTTGGTTTTTGAAAACACAGGCAGGATTTTATGGATGCAGGTTTAAGAGGGGATGTGTTCTATGCCATCCTGAGCTCAGAGGTTCGGTGCAATTGAATTTTAAAAATAAATAAGTGCCATGCAAGGTCAAATGCAGGATTGTTTCCAGTTGTTTTGAACTCCTTTATATCTCTGTGCATTTGATGTAAGATACATAGTAACAGAGAAACAGAGCAAGTCAGAAGGGGCCTCCTGGGCCATCTAGTCTGACCCCCGGCTCCAGCCGGCTCTGCTCACAACATGCCCACCATGTGCGAGTGCTTTTTAGGGGAAAGCATGTAGTAAGATTAAGAAATGAAATGATTGTTGCAGTCTGAAGCATCTGTGGAAAATGGGATATTAGGGTGGAAGGAGGAAGATTAGGTTGCCCTTGATGGGACTTGATTTCTAATAGTCATAACTGATAGCCCATTTATTTCAATGGGCTTATTGTAAGCATATCTATGTTGGAGCCATCTCTTGGCAATTAGGTGCATAGAACAATTAGGGAGAATCAGGCCTTTATCTTTCTAGAGCTAGATTATTTTATTTATTCCAGTGGGCTGCAGACAAGAGAAGCAGAGCTGGGATCCTCTAAGACACAGGCAAGGAAATGCGTGCTCTCTCAGTTGGCTTAAGCAACAAGGCCAAGAAGCCCTACTCCGCCAAGGCCAATGGTCAGGAATTGTGGGAGTTGTAGTCTGCCATCATCTGCACAGCACCAAATTGCATGCTTAAAGGCACGGAGAGAATCACGCATTCCCGTCGGAAATGGATCATCTCCCTTTGAAACCTCAAATCTAGAACGAACAAAACCACTCTGGGTCCTTTTCTTCTTCCCATCAGTCCTTGCTTATGGTGGAACAACAGCCGTTAAAAACAGAGAGGCATTTTTGAACCTCTCCTGCCTGTCCTACACATTTTGATTGCTTTATGCATATGATAATGCTGTCCATTGCCCACCCAGATGGAAACTAAGGGCAAAAGCCACCACGGATGCTGGCCGTGGAGAGATAACCATGGAAACAGAGGTGCTGCTGAGGAAACACTAAATTCACGTGCTCTGGGTCAGAAAAACTGCCATTATTTTCATTTTCTTCTTCCTTTTGTCCCTTTCTCTGTCCCACCCGTCCAAAGGAAAGCCATGCACTCACTTATATGTTGACTACATCCATGATGGAAGCAGCATCTCTCACTGAGTTCATTACCAGAAAGCCTGAGCTTTATCGTTATTCTTATTATTAATTAATCAATGGATCGATCAATTGATTGATTGGCGCATACATCAGGGACTCTGCCTAGCAATTATATCACAAATAATGTCGTAATTTAGTCTCCCTTTTAGAAGCAAGCGGAGCAGAGAAGGTGGAAATTTGGAATGCCCTATCGATCATGGTTTTCGGAAGGTCTCTTTGTGGTTTTGGAATGTGAGACCCTTGATAAAATGTTGCTGCATTGGAAGGCAGCTGTTTCTCAGCCCTGCCCTGCCCTGCCCTGCCCTGCCCTCCAGAGTTTCATGACTTTCCCCCCAATCATCTGTGAGTGGCACACCACAGGCACTGAGAAAAAAAATCACCAGACTTCTGTGTGTTCTGTCCCTTCCCTCCCTCTCTTATAGCTAGAGATGCAAATTATTTGGAAATTCCAAAGCCATTGTGGAGCAGAATGTTCTCCCCTGCCCCTCCAAATTAGGAAAAAAAAATTTTTGGGGTGGGGAGGGAAATGTGTCATCTTATTATTTAGTACATTAATACACTTCTATACTTCCCAACTGTTGAAGCTCTCTGGGAGGTTTTCAACGGGGCGTAAGGTACAATAAAGCCCTTGTTATTGTTGTTGTTTTAATAAAAATACCACATTTAGAAGCAGATTCCGAAGCATAATAGAGAAGGCAATGCCCAGATAGCCGACCGCCGTGCTCAGTTTCCTGCACAGGTGCAAGGAGTAGCTGGACAGCTGGATGGACTTCGTTCCCCCATTCCCAAATCAAATTTGGATTGGACGGTTCTTCACATACATAAAACCTGAAAACGGAGGACTGCCAGTCCACCAAAGCAGCAGCAACAACGCATCGGTTCGCTTCTTTCACAACTCAGGTTCCTGCTTGAATTTGGGTTCTGCTTTGGAGGGTGGAGGGAAGCATTTGGCGCCCTTCTGGTCTTGTTTCCGAGTCGAGCTTGGAGGGAGTCTGAGCAGGACAAGAGATTGCAAGTGGCAGGAAGAGGTCAAGCTGCTGCTTCGAAAGCGATCACTTTTGACAGATGTTTCAGGAGCCCTGACATTGCCTTGAAATATTTATGTGGTTTGAGTCCATGAGCGCATCTTGCCTGCCAGCAACAGCCATCACCTCATCCCATGGGATGCTTGATTGGCACCGAGAAGTGGCCACAGGAAGCTTAGTGTTGCAGAGACTGGGGGAATGGAGAGAGAGAGAGCGCTTTCATTTTACAAAGATATCATCAGCTCCTCCTGAGAGCTGTCAAATTGCCTGCTGCAACCAATCCAACCGGTAGCTTATTGTTCCTGGGAAGCCAGACATGGCCATTATGGTTTTTAAGAGTACTCTTGTGCTCCACGTCCAGTTTTTGGCCTTCCCATTTGGACATCAGGTTGGGCCACAGTGAGCATGAATGAGCATTGTTCTGATCCCACATGGGTCACCTCGCTCTTGTTTTCCCATAACATGCCAAGAAGAAATGGGGCTGGTCAAGATGAAGAGGGAAGGGGATGTCATTCTTCCTTGGAGGACCCTGGGTTTTAGCTTCCACAAATGGGATCACTCCGCAGATCAGAGGAGAGAGATGGGTCCACCCTGACGATCCTCTTCTCACAGAGGATCCAGTCACAGATTTAGCTCTGGCTGAGCATGCTGGTTCCAAGACTGGTGAGAATTGCGGCTTCGGTGGCAATGTGATTGCTGGATTATGCGGCACACAGTATTTCAAATCACACCAAAGATCGCTTTGTGTAAAGATATTACAATATTGGCAATTTGTAAATCAATGTATTTTTTGTATTGTTATATTTAATGGTAATTTATTATGTACTATTGTATTTCAATGTATTTTATCATGTTGTAAGCCGCCCCGAGGTTTCGGCAAGGGGCGGCATAGAAATGCTATAATAATAATAATAATAATAATAATAATAATAATAATAATAATTTTATTTCCAATTTAATTTCTAATGCAGAAAAATGGACAAGCCAGATGTTGACTGATCTCAGCAGCCATGTTCCCCGACCATGGGCCATGCTATCTGGGGCTGATGGGGATTAGAGTCCATCTGGAAGACCACATGTTTCCAGCTCTGAGCTAGCATAAGAGAAGGGATACATCTGTGCAAATGAGTAATAATTGCTGAGAGGAGGCAGAGGAAAATATGAAAGCAAAGGGATCTCTTTGAAGCACAGAAAGAGCCATGTGGATGCATGAATCCTGGTATCACCTTTCTCTCCCATTGCTTAGCGCCATCCAGTCTCACCTTTCTTCTACATCCTGCACTTAGTGATAGAGAAGATTATGCATAATTGACTTCACACAGGGCCTGCTCTTTGTTCCCTTATGCGTACCTGAACAATGGCATTCTCGATCATCAGGTTGTTCTCACAGTGCTGCTGCCTCTAACATTCTGTTCAGCTTCGCTCATCCCGGCTTCCTTTTGTGAAATCATGCTTATTATCTTTAATTAAATCATAACTCTCCTGGTAACTTTTGACACTCTCTGAGAGCATGGCCAATATCTGTCTCCTCTTGCTTCTGTGGCTCTCATGGGTTCTGGATCTTGCCCAAATTGAGATGGGATTATGAGGATGCTAAAGGCAGGGATTCTAGATTTAGCCATCTCTAGAGCAGATCCTCAGGATTCAATGGGGCGTAACTTAAGTCTCATTGATTTCAAGGGTTCGAATCAAAGCATGACTAAGAAGCAATCTTATGAACCCTCTGTTTCCTTGCCTCAGTTTTTGATGGCAAGGTGGATGTCCGAAGGGAAATGTCATTGTATCTTTCATCTGTTCGTGGATGGGATGGAAAAAATCCTTACCATTGCTCGCAATGGGGGAGAGAGATATAGTAGTGCATTCCTTTGAGTGTATTCCACCCCCATATCTGGGGACTGGTAGGTGGGTGGCTCATGAGTTTTAGGATCTCTTAGACCCTTGGACACTCCTGCCCTACCAATGATACCTCCCCAAAAACACATTGAGTTTTGCCCCTTCCATAGGGTGGACTGTTGATTTGCAGATCCTGCAACAATTCTGCGATGGCTGAGCGGAGCTAAAACTGAGGTTCTATTGTTTAAAGAGCACCCACCAAGGGAATGGTGCCCTCTATAGCCACAAGGAGGTTTTTCCCCAGCACTCCTAGGCCTGCCAGGATGCTGTCTAGGGACTACAGGATAGCTTTCTAAACCTGCGTGTAAGCCATGGCCTACAAAACGGTAGCCAACTTGGGGCTTGCCACCTGTTTGGACTACCTCCCCCATCAGCGCCCAGCCAGTATGGGCACAGTGGGATCCAACTCATTATGTGAAGCCCTGTAATTGCTAGCATTTTATACAGACTCCCTTTCTTCTCATCTGCATTCTTTTACTGCATTGGGAGCCGGGCTTCATACAAACGTCTTTACAAAAAAATATTATATTGTTTTAATTGTCTTTTTAGGCTGCTTGGGGAGGTATTTGTCCTGGAAGTTGGCATATAAATACTCTAAATAGGCAAAGAAAGGAAAAAGCAAACCCACAAATGCAATATTTTTAGGCTTTCGGTTGTCCACTGTCAATTGTCTGCCTATTTATATAACCCCCTCTAGGCTTGTAAAGTGGAAAAATGAGAAGAAATAAATAGACAAATAGCCACGGATTGGATGTGTCTGTGTGTGTGCGTGCTGAAAATTTAGTGTGATACTTAACCAAAAGCAACGTCTCTTTCTCTGCAAAGACTTGACTTCATCTTATAGTCGCTGCACGCTAAGGACAACCGAGATGTGATTCACCATGTTTTCAGTGGGACTTAGGTGAGTAAAAGTCCCACTGTCCATGCCTTCTGGTCCATCCGACTCCCGTCTTTCCCCTCCTCTGCCTACATCTTAGAATCATAAAGCTGTAGCACTGGAAGAGGCCAAGAAGGCCATCTTCTTTCCCACCCTCATTTTCTTCTGCTTCTTCATGGTCCCCGCTTCCTTATCATTGCAGAAAACGCCCTTCCAGCGTGTGCCAGAATGTTCCGCAGCACCCATGTGCATGAGCGCACCAAGAGATACCTCAGCCTCTGTAAGAGGTAAGGCCCTGTGTGCCTTGCTTGCTCGGTGCTGGGCTGATTTACAGCTGCAAAGGCAGTCTCTTCAGCAGAAAAGAGAAGGACGTCAATCCCCGGAAAGTAAGCTGTAAGTGAAAATTGAAACTGTCAGGCCGCGTTTGTTGCTCACTCTGTCTCTTGCTCCGCCCCCTCCCCTCCGGCCTTAATTTTAATTAAAAGGGGGCAGCTTTTTGTCTGTGGATGTATATGTTGAATAAATCACTAGTGATCTTGAAAAGCTCTCCTCCCTTTTATACTGTAACTGCGTTTTCACACACTGCAGGGGTCGGTCCGTCAGTCGGTAGTCGGTTGGTATTTCTTCTTTCCCATGGATTTGGCTTTTCACTCACTCCTTCTTTCAAGCCAGAAATCTGTCACCCAATCAGCCAAGTTCTGTGTGGTACCAAGGCAATGGGCTAGGAAAGTTCAGCACTAGGATGGCCGTTAGAGCTGATGAAATATGGGAGTGTGGAGCAATGTTCCTTCACCTGCTTGGCAGGAGCATTTCCCAGAAGGCCACCTGGATTTTAATGGAGTTGGAAGGGATCTTGGATATGACACACTTCCTGTTCTATGCAGAATCTACAAGGCAAGCTGCACTTGCAGTGTCCCTAAGAGGAGGCCATCCAACTTCTGTGTAGACATTCTCCCACCTAGGTGTTGTCTCCTCCTAGGATAAGGGATTCCCAAAGCTACTTCCATCAAATCATGGGAACTGTAGACCACACAGTTCAATACCCTGTTTGATGCCTGAAAACTACAACTGTCCCATCTTTAACAGATGGATGGACCATTGATTCAATCCCCAGCCTGCTCTATCATCAATATCCTTCTCCCATTGTTCAATTAATGTCTATCCTCCTGTGACTGAAGCCCATGAGATCTTGTGCTGCCATTTGGGACAGCAGAGAGCAAAACCACCCCATCTTCTGTTTAACATAGAAACATAGAGTGAGTCAGAAGGGGTCTCCCGGGCCATCTAGTCTGACCCCCAGCTCCAGCTGGCTCTGCTCATGACTCACCTACCATGTGCATGTCCATCCTATCCCTGAACAACCTCACCAACTGGACTTCAACCACCTCCCAACATCAACTGGGGCACCTGAAGAGCATTAGCACATCTAGCGGTGGGTGAACTTAGCCGGACTGAATTCATTATTTCTTCACAAAGTAACGCATCCACCCATGTGAGCTGAGCTGAGAGTTCTCCTTTAATGCAAGAGCTCATGGACTCATGAAGGTATATGAATTCATGTCCACACGCAATAGCCAAGTGCATCTTGGGAAGTAGTATATGGAATCACCTAGTATGGCATGGCTTCATGCAGAATGTGATGCTGTGCCGTTCATTGGTTGTCTTTGTGTGGAATGTGAAATTTACTCAGTGATTTTAATACAGAGAGGAGAAAAGAAAGAAGGTCTGTAGGGTCCTCCTCCTCCTCTCCTCGTTGAGCAGGAACTGCAGAGCTGATGGCGATGGAGGGAGATGTGGTAGACAAACCAGCCAGATCGGCACAACCTCAGGGCTGCCATGGTTCGAATGAACCCCAGAATCCCAGAAGAGTTGGAAGGGGCCTATAAATCCAGCAAGGTCAGTCCCCTGTGCAGTGCAGGGCTCCAGCTGAAGCATCTGAGTTTAAGACTATGCATTTGCTGAAACTCACAATCCGTTCCACACTGAGTAGCAATTGCGTAACACAGTGATTCAGGCTGGCTACAAAAGTGAGCATTATGAATGGATGAGTCTCAGCAAAGGAGTGGAATAATTATGAAATTAAGCAGCATCATTAATCACACATCATCTCTCCTCTAGGCTAAACATACCAAGTTCTTTCAGTCTTTCCACACAGAAGCAGGACTTCTTCTCAATATGCTGCACATTTCCATTTTGGAGTTCTGAATGATTTCGTCCTGTTTCTGAAGGAGAATTCATGCATAAGAATCCTTGATTGCTTCATTTTTTCATGCTTTACTGACTCCATTCCAAGCATACTGCCTCTGCTCACCACACATTTCAGCTCCTTCCATTCATTCTTGTCCTTCGCTCAGTCCTACATTGCTGAAGCACATTTGCAAAATATAACTCAGCGGAAAGCCAAACACAGAAGAGGCAACTCTGACGTAGCTGGTACACTTTTATATTGAGATTCATTCTGTTTGGTGCATAATGGATTCCCAGAACTAGGCATGTGATAAGTTAAAAAAAGGATGCAAAACTGTTTGTCTGTTGCCTCGCTGCCCAAGCATGGCTGTGTACTGCTGTTATCACCATAGAGCTAGGAAAAACAGTGCTGTATATTTGTATCCCTCCTTTCCAGTCTTAAACTCAGTCCTTCCTGGATTGTGGCAACTTCTTTATACAAAATGGACTCATAAACATCTGTAACCATATATGTGTGTGTGTGTGTGTGTGTGTGTGTGTATATATTTATATATATGCACACATACACACACACATATACATACATACATACATATAATTGTGTGTGTGTGTGTGTGTGTGTGTGTGTGTGTGTATAGAGAGAGAGAGAGAGAGGCATGGTTCTTCTTATAGACACAAACTCTACGCAATGTGAGTTATCCGATGGATTTGGGAATGCACCTTCCACCTCCGTATGCATTTTTGGGTGCCCTTTCCTTTTGTCTCTGCATTTGTTCCTGCATAATTTGAGGAGCAAATTCAACTGAAAATTGGGAGAGGGGTAAATTGTTTGGTGTTTCAATTTGCATTTTGCTTTGAAGGTGAGCTGGTATCCTAATCAGGAACCTTGGAATCCACTTTTTCCCCATGCCTGTCTCTGCATTTCAATTGCTGTCATAGTTTCACCTCATTCCCTTTCCCTGTTCTTCCTGGAACTGCTCCTCCGTCACCCAGATGCCCACAAGCTCTGGAATTTTCCTTTTCTGCAACATCAGGCTGCTTGCCCTAATTGAAACCTAGTCCACATCGTCCGATACTTTGCTGCTATAGCTAAAACAATATACATGTTATAGAAAGCATTGCGTATTCTTCCTGCAATTCACCATCTAGCCATTTCCTCCCTTCCCTCATCTTCCGCTCTTTCCTGAGCCCATTTTATTATTTGATCATTTATTTATTTTACAAGTTTGTTATTCCACTCTATACCCAATCAAATCCCCATGTGCTAATCAATAGAAATGCTGAAAGAATAACCACGTTGCAAAATGACAAGCTTTATGATCGAGTCAGAGAAGGCTTGTTGAAATAAAAGCATCTTTTGCAGATGCTGGGAATAAAACAGCATTGGTGCCTACATCCAACAGGCAGGGAGTTCCATGGAGAAGCAAGCCAGTGGTCTATTCTAAGGGGAGTCCCAAAAAAATGGCAGGTCAATGCCAAGCCACCAGGAGTGCCCATCTAATGATCTCAGTGATGGAGAAGTCTGGAAGGGAGAAGGCACTCTCTCATACAGATGGCATCTGAGAATCTTAGCTCCTTGGCATACGATCCATTCATACGTGTTCTTTTGAAATCACCATAAACTTGGATGGTACCCAACCAAGTAATAATGGAGGAGGAGGAAGAGATGGAGACACAGAAGGAAGGAGACGGAGATGGAGATCCATCATTACCACTTCCTCAGACTCTCCAGGTTTTGAGGCCATGTGCCACATAATCCAGGGATAATACTGCCAGTCTGTAAGTTTTCTCTAACTACCATCCTCACCGGTGTTGGAACCAGAGCTGAATCTGTGGACTGTAGGCATATGAAATGCCAAAGGGGAGACAGAGGGGAGGTGGAGAAGGAAAAATCACCATTTCAGATTAATATCTTCTTTTTTATTCCCCTTCTACATAGTTTAATTTCCCACAAAGTGACTTTTTCCCACTGCAAGCATGTTTCCTCAATAATAATATTGCCAATTGTCAGAACGCCTTTTAAGACTCCTTTGTATCCAAGACTTGGCAACTTCTCCTCTTGGTACCAGTTCCTTTCATAAGGAAAATAAATAAATGATTTTTATTTTGTTTTTAAGTGAACTCTGGTTTACACTAACACCCAATATGTCCATGCAGGCATATTTGCTTTCATAGCTAATGCATTGTAGGTTTTGTAATCCTAATACTTAAAAAACTGGGTGGCTTTTGATGCAGACAATATACATTATCATGAGGATAAGTATATTATCAGAGGATGGAAAGCTCTTTTCCCTAAGTTTAAAGAACTGACAACTAGATTAGCAAATATACAGCAGATTCAGTGAGAAAATATGCAGATACACATGAATAACAGTACATTTGCCAGAGGGGGAGTGGGGAATCTCACAATGCCAACTTCATCCCCAAACCCAGTTTAAGGAGCATTTAGAAGCAACACTATTAAAATAACTACATGATTTTAGAAAGGAAATCTCTGTGTGTTTTTTAACCAGAAATAGCACGAAAAACCAGGGTTAGCATGTTTAGACCGCTGCTGAGGACCTCCATACTGGAAGCAGTTGTTGTTGTTATTGTTATTATACCCTACTCTACCCTACATTATTTATATTTTTTATTTATTTATTAAAAGCTTTTGTATGCTCTCCTATTATACAAGATATATGGTTGTACTGTATTGTAATTATTACTATTATTATTATTTCCACTTCTCTAGAGTCCCACAGTTGAAGCTCTAAGGACCAGAGATGTTTCTTCATGAGCAGACCCTGTTGTCCATCTGCCTTTCTTTCTGGACCAGGTTATGGAGGTGGTAAGAAAACTGGCTCACTGCCCATCAAGACAGCAAGGGGGTGCAAAGGAGAGAAGGTGGCCCAAGAGCAGCTCCTTGTAGGAGTGGGAGAACCAGGGATGCTTAAAACGTTTAAATAGTAAGCTGCTTGGGGCACAGACCTGCAGTGTTGTACCCTGTAAAGTGCTAGGCACACTGAAAGCTGTATAAGAACAACTCTTCACCACAACTGGTCGGGATTCAGATGTCTTGCAAAACACAGCTGCATCATTAGTCCGCCGACCTCTTTGATGTTTCAGCTCTACCTGTGTGCTTGGATGCGTAGGATAGCCTTCATCTCCATCTTCATCTGGTTCCCTGGAAGCAAATCCAACATTTGACCAAAACAGTTGGGGTTAACAGATTGACTATGCCAGCATCCACGCTCCAAATCCCAGACTAGGTCCTGCCAATTTTCTATGCAAATGATCAATCTAGGGCAATTAGAGAAAAGGGCATGTGGTACCTAATTAAGCTCCAAGAATGATGATCTTCATTGAGGTTGGATGTGAATGACATAAATGTAGATAAATTCTATGAAATTAGATGGAAGGTCTTTGGTTCAAGAAGATGTAGTTGGCAGAGAATCCATTCCTCATTTAGAACCCTCAGACCAAAAAAGTTTGAAAATGGGAAGAGTAAAATATTGTATATAAAATATCACAAAACCTGTTTTATGATATTCTATATTCTTGGTGTTTACAGTTGCTGTTTTGCTCCCTCCCTCCCTCCCTCCCTCCCTTCCAATTGATTGGTCATTAAGTTTAATCCAGAATAGTTTAACTGAAGAGAAGCCCCTTCCCAGACTTGCAATAGAAATCAAACCGTCTTTCCAGAGTTACACAGAGAGGCTTTTCCTGCAACAGGAGGCATGCAAACAAATTCTGTACAGGATGGCTTGCAATGGGCAAACAATTCAATTTTGAATTGGAGATGGATCTAGAGATCTATGAGAATGCCATTTCTGTTTGGAAATCATATAAACATCTCCCATTCTCAACCCCAAACCAAGCAAGAACATGATTCTCTGGAAAGGTTCACCATTTCATGAACTCAGATTCACTTTTAAGAGTGCATAAATTCCCCCCCCCAGTCCAAAATCAACCAGGTGGGTTCTAGTCTGAGCTATAAAGATGGTACCCATATAATGAATCCCATCTCCCTGCTGCCCAGATCAGTTCAGCACCACAGACAGCTCCTGAAATAGTTCAGACTGCGACCTGGAATGGATCCACTGGTCCACCGACCTGGGAGTTAGAAACATAGAAACATAGAAAACAGAGCAAGTCAGAAGGGGCCTCCCGGGCCATCTAGTCTGACCTCCGGCACCAGCCGGCTCCACTCACGACATGCCCACCATGTGGAGTTACTCTTCTCCACTCATTCTTACCATTCTGGTTTGCTGAACCTGCCCTTGTCATGAAGTCCATCACAACTACATGGCTTCTGTGGATCTGGTCCATACAAAGTTCTCCCAGAGCTGCCAGAAAATAAAGGGAGGAGGCAGAGAAGGAAGACCTGATTCCACCCCTTTGCAAAATGCTCCTCGTTCAATTTCCAGACTGTAAGCATTTTACGATGGTTTGGCCTCCTCTAGGTTAGGATGGCTGGATCCACACATCAGGGTTAGCCATTGACGACTAATGACTAGAAATGAATGAGGCAATAAGGGCAGCCCAACTCTGTAAAAGAGAAAGCTGAAAAAGACACCTTTTCAAAAATATTGCGAGTCTTCTGCAGCCTCAGAGCACAGTGCCACTCAGCAGCCATTTGCATTTCTTTCCATTAAGTCTCCACACAGGGTCTTATTAAAGGTTTATTTTTACCTCGGCACAGAGAGGTTACCAGCAGACTTGCTCTTGTCTTGACGGCTTTGGCATTTTGCTGGGCCGGCTCACGTGTGCAGGACTTCGTATTTGGCCAAAAATAAAACCTCCAGGAGGAGAGCAGGTCTGGTAAGTCACAGTGCCAGCCAATTCTCTACACAGGGAGCTTGTGAAAGAGTGCAGCTCAGCCATTGCTCCTCATCTCCTGAAATGATTGATGCTGTTCCTAAACATGGATGTCTCTTTGCCCTCCACTCTGTGAGGAGGAGGAGAGATGGGTTCCTTCATACTGGGGATTTCTTTCTTGCTTACTGGGGATTTCATTAGGCTGCCTCAGCATGGCATTATCATTGTCATGTCTGACAAAACTCACATACCACACTATGAGTTTCCTGAAGTAAGTTGTGTGCATCCCTTGGAGGTATTGGAAACTATAATGAGTGATTTGGTTACTTACCAAATCACAATTTTAAGGTGGAAATCCTGTACCAACTTCCCCCGGAGAAGGCTGCATATACTCAGTGGGGCCAGATGGTGTGTTTGAGTTCTGCCTGCTGCTTTAAAATAAACAAGTAAGTATTATTTGATTGCACATTTGTTGCTGTCAGTGTTTGTGATAACATTTTGTCTCCACCTCCCCCATCTTTGGTGAACCATCAGTGGAAAACAGTCTTGGATGGAGAACAAAGATGCTGAAGGGGTCTCATTGGCGGAAACTTCCTGGCAGTCAGATTGTTCAGCAGGGAAGCTGGCTACCTTGGGCAATCGTAGAGTAGTCGGGTTGGAAGGGGCCAAGAAGGCCATCGAATCCAACCTCCTGCTGGTACAGGATGGTAGGTGCACCATCCCGCTTAGATAACCATCTCGCTGCTTCTTGAATGTCTCTAGCATGGAAGAGATGATGGACTCTTCTTCTTTGGAGGGAGTTAAGTGGAGGCTGGACAGAAATGCATTGCAGATTCTACCACCACTGCGGGGATGGACTGAAGGAGCTGCAATTCTAAAATGGATGGCTACTTTAAAGAGGTATGGAAAGTGCTGCTACACCACACAGTTAGAAGAAAGGTTGTTGTCATTGCTGCTGCTGTTACGTGCTGCCCAATCGCCTTTGATTGTTGGCAACCCTATAAATGAACGTTCTCCAAGATGTCATCGCCTTCTCAGCTCTTGTACACTCAAGGCTGTGCCTTCCTTTGGGAAACCAAGCCATCTCATAGTTGCATGTCATCTTCCAGCTTCAACTTTCTCTCGCATGATTTCTCTCCAGGGAGTCTGGCCTTCTCATGATGTGCCCCAAGAAGGGCAGATTAAGTTTCACCGGTTTTGCTTCCAGGGCAAGGTCTGAGTTGATTTGAGCCAGGAGCCACTTGTGGATCTTTCTGTTGGTCCAGCATATGAGTAAAGCTTTTCCCCAGTGCCATTTCCTCAGAATGCCAAAACTGTAACCCAGCCCCCACACCGCTCCCCCTTTCCCTGCCAAGGAAGTCTCTCTAAACTAAGAAGAAGCCAACTTTTCCATTGCTGCCCTTCTGAACCTTCCAAGGTTCATAGCCCATAAATAAAGCTTTTTGTAACTGAGAGTCTCAGCACGAGCCACAGTCACCAGGGCACAAAGCAGTGTCTAATTTTTCAGCTTCCTGTACTGGGATTCAATTGTTTTCCACGGCCTTTTGTGCTCTTAGTTTATGAAAAATCAATAGTTTAATATAGAAAAAGAATCCCTCGGCTATCTATTTAGAGCTGTATTGCCTCCAGCAATAGCGTTGTGGTTGTTTCAGTCAGTGCATTTAGAGATACTGAGACAGACAGGCCAGCCTGAGGATGTGAGGAGGAAAGAGGGTGTGAAAGACCTTGCTTCACGTCTCAGGCCGGCCACTGTTTGACAGGCCAACAGAGGGAGTCCTAGGCGCTCCTCCAGGGCCACCACCGCCACCAGGTCCTCACCTGGCCTCAATCAGACCTGAGCCAGCATGGCCACTTTCTAGGACAGCCGCGATCTGAGATCAGTCTTCAGACGAGCAATGGAACCCCCAGTACATTAGGATATCCAATGTCAGTCTCCTTGTAATAACCAGAAGCGGGACCCAGCGTTAAGAGTCAAGCAGCCTTGTGCAGAAGCTCAGTTTTCCTGAGCCTTTTATCCTCCACTGAAAGTGCCTTTTGATTTTCCGCAACTGTTGCAAGATTCCTACAAATGCGGCCACACTATTGGGTGTGTGAGGTATTTACAATTTAATGAAGCAGCTGAGTAATGTATGAGAATGTCGCTTTGCCTTGCAAATTGCTTTAAAATACCCCATTTATTTATTTATTTAAAACATTTTTATGCCGCCCCCATCGCAATGAAGCCTTGGGGCAGCTCACAACAGAAACAAAATACATAAATAATAACAATATAACAATTTAAAAGATTGCAATGTCGAACAAGAACACCAATAGGACTTTGTTTTCTGGGGACAAGTTCCTAATTCATGAACTCGCCTTTGTGTTCACAAAGCGTGCAGAAAGCTCCAGCTTCCTCCGAGGATTATCCTTTCCATGGCCTGTGCTTTAGTTCCAGAGAGAGATTTGGAGAATTTTGGAAATTTGTACAAATCGCGGGTCTTTTTGCAGAACTCTGCAAAGTGCTCATTTTGCTCAACTTTCCCATTAGTGCAAAATGCACGGAGAGCACAAATGCATCCTAGAACCAGAACAGACAAGAAGCAAGCTCATTTTGGAGTGCCATGCTGAGTCTGAGCAACCCTAACTGAATATAGAAAAATAGAAACAGAGCGAGTCAGAAGGGGCCTCCCGGTCCACAGTTGGGATGAAGCTACTCGGGAACCAGAGGCCATAGACGCTGCAGTATGAAGAGCAGGAAGAGCCACTCAGAGCCATCTTCTGTGAAGTGTCTTTCTGCTCCATGTGCCGTGGTGCTAATAGCAAGCATGCATGGTGGCAAAGCCGCCCCTTGGGTTGCCTCCAAGATCCACTCTAGGAAGTTCCTTCAGTCCAGTTGTAGCAATTCATCCTCCTGTGAAACCCATCTATCTGAACTCCTTTTGCAACCATGGAAAATGTTTGGGGAACACATCAGTGAAGTTGATCCAGCGTAAATATAGACCCAAGCTCCAGTATTTATTCCTTTAAAACCCCAGACTTAGTTGCTCACCAAGCAGAGAAAGTTAACCTCTAATCTGGTCCTTTCTGATGCTCAAAGCAATAGTGGCTAAAACATAGGCCCATTTCCAAGTTCCAGCTTTAAAGGAGGTACCGTCTGCTCAGATCTCTCCCCCTCAAAGGAGAGTTGGCAGATCTGGAAATGTTATCGACGGAGACATTTGTATTCCACAAGTAAAGAAATAGAATTCTGTGCCCAGGGCTAAGATTAGCTGCTTACTTTAAAAAACCAGACGAGAAAGAGAGAGTGTAGGGTGATTTTTCACTGTGAACTTCAGCAGATGTACAGGAACTAGCTAACTTTTGTTTCATGGAGGGCTGCCCATGTTTACCGTGGCATCCCGAGAAGCAGAAATTGATCAGGTGAAGCTTTTCCTGGCACAGATGCTGTGAAAGGGCACTTCATAGCCTCTGTTGGATGGCGTTATGTATTTAGTGGCTAAAAATATTTTATGCTGGCCTTCATTTTACGGTACATGCTTGGTTTACAAAAGTGTTTTAATCCTAAAATGGCAGATAATCAAAACAAATAAAACAAACAAATAAATGATCTGCCCCAGCAACTAAAAGCAAAGGGAGTCTGTTTTTAAAAAGTAAACCAGCCCTAGTTCTCACTTCCTAGGCTAATAAGAACCCAGTGTTGCTTCTTATTAGTGGTTAGAGGGCTAGAAGGGGACTCAGGAGATCCGGGTTCTAGTCCCCACTCAGCTTTGAAGCTCCCTGGGTGAGTCAGTCACTCTCTCTCAGCCTGACCCACCTCGCAGGGTTGTTGTGAAGATAAGATGATGAAGAAGCGGCCCATGTAAGCCAATCTGCTTCCTTGCAAGCAGAAAATATTGGGATATTAATAGAATGCAATGATGATAATAAGCAGGATTCTCGGTGGTGTGATGCTCTGAAACATGAACAGAGAGCATTTGTCCATTCTTGGCTTCATTTCTGTTGCTTTCCTAGTATACTAAAAAATGATATTTAAATACTGGGTATTCAACTGCTGCAGCTTCTGGTGGCCTCTTTTGCCATTCTTTGGATATCCTGAACACTATTTTACCCTGCCAATAAGGTATCAGTAGTTCCCAACATGACTTTGGATGTGTTAGGATGTTATATTTTTCATGTGGGTTTCTTTTTAATGGTTCCTAGTTTAGTTTCTTTAATCCTTTGGGTGAGACAGCATGGACGGGTATAACCCTTTTGGCACAACCCCAAAAGACGACCTACTGAAAAGGCGGAAGAGTCAGACTTGGTGTGATAGAAATTCCTGCTTCCAAAATGCTGGCATGGCCCAAGAGTTGAGTCCGGAACGACACCGAAATGGCTGGGTGGTCACCGTCATTTTCAATCAGTGTGACGTCTACATGGAAACCACAGGTGGGAAGCAAGCTTGTCGCTGGACGGAGGTGGGCAGGGGCACAGAGGACATTTTCTTGGGGCTGGAAACAATCTTTGGCAAATAAATTGTCCACCTCTTCGGAGAGCTGAGTGCCTATGCGCTAAGCTTGGCCTTCTCTTCCTATCAGCTAAGATGACCCACCTGAGATTAGACACATAAAGAAGCAGGTGGCAGAATCCCTGACCCTCTGAACTTCTCCTTTCCATCCTCATGGACGAGTCCCTCTTCACCGGATGTGATTTTAAATAATCATGAAGGCACAGACGGTCCACTGATGTGGGTATCCAGGCAACACAAACACACAAACACGAGTCGATATTTGTTGCCACGTAAATGCAAGCAGAAGTTGAGGCTGTTATGTATTTTTAATTTACATTTTTATTGATGTTTTCTTTTTTAATGAAAAACAGTGCAAGCAGAGATAAAATGCCCACCTGCGCAGGGAAAATCCACTAGCTAATGCCATAAAGAGGCTGTATTTCAAGCCCAAATAAAGAACACCAGAAAGTCAAGAAATCATTTTTGGTGCTGTGGGATTTTGAACACAGTTAGATCCCGTTAGCCCATTCCTAATTCCTTTACAGGGAAGGTGTGCCTGTATTTTGAAATCCGTGATACCTTGGCTTTTCACCCCAATCTTGGAGGACTCTCCATGTACACACTAGAAGAGCATCGGTGAGGGTGTTCAAGGAGGCACGGTAGGCGTGTCATGAGTGGAGCCAGCTGGAGGCAGGGGTCAGACTAGATGGCCCAGAAGGCCCCATCTGACTCACCCTGTCTCTATGTTTCTATGTCATGGACTTAAAGGACAAGAGCGACAGAATGGCATGCAGTGAGTACTGCACATGTGAATGTATCCCTGTAAAAACCCCCATCTTTGCGACCTGCCGTCCTTCCATTTTAATTTCCAGCTTTAGTTCAGGCGTCTGGCGTGATGCACTTTTCGGACCGCATCCTTTCTCCCCTCTTGTAGGTTCACCGATGAGATGACGCATCCACCTTCCATATTGGTCCTGGCAGCCTCTCGCAGCTGCATCCGATGCAAGCAGAACCCGTTTCTCCGCCATCCCGACTCGAGCGCAGCTTGTGCAAACGGGCCGCCGAAGCTCCGCGGGTTTGTCATCTTGCTGTGTTGAAAGTGATACTAGTCAGGAGGTGGGGTTGTGTTTTTTTTTTTATAAGAAATCAGTACAGCGGTGGGGAAATGTTGCTCAAACTGCCTATTCGTAAGTTTTTAACTCTGGCACGACAATGCCTCGGTCGCTTCTTTTTGTTCTAAGTGCCCAATTAAGCTGACTGTTTACACGGGGCTGCCAAAGTCCCAGCTCTCCAATGGCAAAAGCAAAATGTTGGTAATGAGGCTTCAAGCTGAAAGGAAGGGGGAAGGCAACGTGCTCAGAGAAGCAGCAGAAACCGGTCCCAGCACTGGGAGATCGGCAGAAGCAACGTTATCCGGAAAGCCTGTTTTGGGACTCCGAGATGGAGAGGGCGGCAGCTTGCCCCAGGCCATGTTTCTTCCAAAAAGCAAACTTGTGTGTCTAGCCTATGAGGCACCTGCTTTAGGGCTCAAGCGTGTTTGAATTCCCACAAATCTCATCCACAGATTCGGCAATGGACCGGCTTTCCCCCATGACACGGATTCCGCCATCAGATGGCTTGGACCATTTCTAGGCTCCATTTGCACAATTGGAGCTGCTTTAAACTTCTTAATGTTTCTTTGATGTTGTGACATTTTATTGGATTTATTGCCTTGCTTTTATCGTTGCAATCCGAGAGCCAGTGCAGTGAGGCGGTGAAGAGTGTGGGACTGAGACCTGGGAAATCTGGATTCTGGTGCCCACTCAGCCATGAGGTTCAGGTGGATGTTGGGCCAGTCAGAGGTTTGCAGCCTGACCTACCTCACAGGGTTGTTGTTGTGAGGGTAAAATTGCGAGGTGGAGGAAAATTATGTAAGCTGCCTTGAGTTCCTTGAAAAGAAAAAAATACATATAATAAACATACGAAATAATAAGTAAACCACCCAGGGTACTTTGCCTATAGGGCAGTAATAGACACATATAATAATATAATATACTATAATAATACTATACTATACTAAACTAATACTATACTGAACTATAATAATACTATAATACTATACTATACTATAATAATACTATAATACTATACTATACTAATACTATACTACAGTATTATAGTATACTATAATACTATACTATTATACTATACTATGCTATAATAATACTATACTAATAATGTTTTCATAAAATAATTGGAAGGCAACACTTGGTCTACTCCGGAACCAAACGTAGCCCTAACAGAAATTCAGCATCCCCCATGCAGGAAAGGTTCATGCGAGACGCACCATATTCTCATCTGTAAGTGGGGGGGAAAAAACCACACATACACACAAACAAGAGACTTGGTAGAGGCCACCTCTCCCCATTATGCCATTTCTCCATGTTGCCAGGATCAGAGGGAGTTCTTTAATCACAGGGCTGGGTGAGGTTGATTAGGTTTGATTGCATGTTCCACAGGTATTATTGATCCGCCGGGATGATTGATACCACTTGTCCTTGTCAATGCTTCAACTTTGCGGTAATTGCATGAATTATCTGCCAGGGACTCACACCCCTTGTCCTCAAATAAATTAACAGTATTTTTTAACCCAAAGGAGGGGGAAACACCACACAAGCATGCAGGTAGAAATACACCACTGCTTGACAAAGCTTGAATTATTTCCAAGCGGTTCTACCCATCCTTCTTTGAAATACCCATAAATCATGGAATTCACACAGATGAAGACCTTTAAATGTACACGAGCGGGCCATTTCTCTCCTTGGCAAGCTTTCTTCTGAGGCCCAGACTTGCAAAAGCCACAGTTATTCCCCTGGATCCTGCACCGAAGTGGAGCCTCCAGCAAAACCTTCATTTTTTGGTGGACCTTGCAAACAAGAGACCCAGCCCAGGTCCATGTGTGATGCTGCCCCTGAACTCTGACTTTAGCTCCTCAACCTCGTCCTCAGCAGCTGCTATTGGGTGGCCTCCTGGCCTGTCAAAAGGGCTTCCTTTAGCCATCACTGCTAATAGCAACTGATGAAACGCCTTTACAAAAATTGAAATGTAGTGCATTAGCTTTTTTCCACAGACTTACCCCTTTCCGACTTCCTGTGCTTATGCATGGACCACAATGCAGGAATATGGCAATACTCTCAGTTCACCATACATGGTGATGCAATTCCCAAATAAAAATGAAAGTGTACAAGGAATGTGTCCAACAAGGAGAACATATTTGTTCGTGTTTGGGATTGTTCTGGCCAAAAGCTGGAGGGCAAATTGGATCAAACAATCAAATACATCACAGCCATGGAAATACTGGTAAAATGTGCCTGTTTGAAAAAGGGCATATAAAAAGGACTATATTTACAGAAGTGCATATAAAATAACTGTGTCGGGAAAAGTATACACAAAAATGCATACACTCTGATAAATCTGCACGAAAATGCCTTTGGATTTGTAGATGTGTTCTTAAAACATTCAAATTTCATCATAAACTGATGAAGAAACAGGACAGGGGGAAAACTACTGTGGAAAATGAGGAAGTAAACAGGATTGGACAGAGTACCTCTTTTCATTTCTCATAGGCCTGAATTAGAAACAGAGAAACGGAGAGAGTCAAAAGGGGTCTCCCGGGCCATCTAGTCTGACCCCCGGCTCCAGCTGGCTCCACTCATGACATGCCTACCATGTGCATGTCCAGCCTATCCTTGAGCATTGTAAGCCTTCCAGAGTTGTGTAGTGATTGCACAGGTTAGAAATATCCCAAATAAATAAATAAACACCCTCACCGATGGGGCTTCAACCACCTCCTGTGGAAGCCCATCCCTTGGGGTCCTAACCATCACGAAGCACTTCCTGGCCTCCAAACTGAACCTTGGTTCCACCATGTCCCTCTATTTCAGCCTGAAAAAGGGCCCACACATTCTCAGCTTAACTCTCTCAGCTAAGTCCCTAGGGGATAAAGAACGGACCAAGGGTTAGACCTGGCATAAAACATGGCGATGTGGATGATCCAACTCAAGTCCAGATAAAATTCGATCTCTTCTGAGGCACCTATACCACATTCTGTCTGTCTGTCTGTCTGTCTGATTTCTGAATAGGCACCGGATAGATAATTGCAGGCCTTGAGTGCCTAATCTTCTCTCTGGGACACCGACAGGTTTCTGAGCCAACAAAACTTAATTGAACTTTCCGTTCCAGCTGAGAAAGGTTATAGATCTGCCGAGTGCAAGTGGAAGGTGGGATGAAAAGGTCAGAAGCACCATTCTTTTTTGTAATGGATTGACCAGGGGCATGTTTTTATCTTCCTCGTCACTGCTGGATTGTAAAACTTAATTAGCAAAGTAACTCCTCTGCCCCGTCTGAAGGCGTGTGTGTTCAAGGAGCGCCCATGCATCATGTTTTATGGACATGTCATGTTTGCGTCCGAAGCCGACAGCGGGCGCGAGGGACCCCGCTCCTCTCATTTCCGCCACAAGGCTGAGGGGGGGCCAAAGGGACAACGGTGAGCTTCTGCAGCCAGGGGTGGAAGAAAGGGACGGACCCAATGGATGAGGCGAGTGGGGCTACCTGTGTTTATGTGGAAGGCGGCCGGCCTCAGCGTGCTGAACAGCTCATGGTAGGGGGAAATCATGCCTCGCAAGGGCCCGCTGATTTAGTGCGATGGTGTACGGCATCAGTCTCTCTCTCCCTTGGGTTTCCCGAATTGCAGAACTGCTTTCTCGGGCCCCATGACTTTTCCCCTGCACTTCTAGGGTTGGGACAAATACAAAAGTGTGCAGATGCACATTTTATTTTTATTTATTTATTTATTGAAACATTTCTATGCCACCCCATTCGCCGAAGCCTCGGAGCGGCTCACAACATTAGCACTAATAGGCACTTATTAATATGCATCTGTGCAACTCTGCACAATCCCCTTATTTAAATAAACCCTTACTTTGATGTTTTGGCTGATGAGGTGCCATTATTTATTTATTATTAATTTAAAACTTTTATGTGCCGTCACCACATGCCTCGGCATCTCAGGATGGTTCACAAATGTACAATTAAAAACAATAAAACAATACAAATTCCATTAAAATTATATAAAAACAACAGCACAAAAACAGAAAAAAGCAACTGAACTGAACAAAGATATTCCATCTCATTAGGGAGGAAATTGGCAAATTTTGGAAAGTTCTTACTCCAAAATGAACCAAACAAAATTCTCTCCAATCTGTCATATCGTTAGAGAGAGAGATTACTGGCCTGCCTGAACTTGTTCTTCTGTCCTTATCAGGAACTGGGGAGAAGATAAGAAGATAAGCTTTTTTTCCCATGGGTTTCCTCCTTTTCCTGTATCCAAGTCATCCCATGCTGTTCCTAATTGTTATTTTTTGTTATTATTTTTGCTTGCATTTTTGTGCACAGTTTTTTCAAGCAGGTGTTTTCATGACTAACATGTGTTTGTACACCATGGGCTTGTTTTGCATTCTTTTGAAACATCCACGTGCCATTAAACCCTCTTTTTTCCCCTTTCACAGAATGCATCCATATCTGGAAAAGTCCGAGTTTTCAACTGCACACTGATTTCCAAATTGGAGGGCTAGATTAGGTAAATTCATTAAAAAAAACAGAAACTTGATGGAGCACATGTCTCACCCACTCCTTGCTAGCAATGCTTCTTTGAAGGCAAGAAGCTGTTTCACTTCCCTTCAAGCCCTTTCTGTATCTCTGATGGACAGAATGAAAGACACCAGAGACCAACATTGTGACTGCAAAGTGAAGATAAAGATATTGCAACAAGGCAAGGACTATCTTCAGTGCACGAACAGCCCAAAAGTCAATCAAAGAGTGATTAATCCATTGCACTATTAACTTAACTCCCCTGGCCTGCCAGATCCTTTCAGCCAACAGGAAAAGAAGCAGCCAAAGCAAAGCAAGAAATCTTAACCTTTCAACTACCACAGTAATCCTCATAGCAAGCTCAGTCAATTTAGGTCACTGGAAGAGAACTGGCTGAAAGAGGATTTTGTAAAGCAAGGACTGAGTTACTGGAATGCAGAAGCTCAAGATCCTTTTCATGCTAGCATTCCTTTCTATTTGGCAGAGGGTTGGTGGAAGTGTGAGTATTTTGAGAGCAAAAAATAGGGTATTTAAAAAGTATTCCCATCCCAGGGACTCCCACCCCATCGCCAAAAAATCAAGACTTTCTCATTTTCTCTGACTAGCCTTTTCTGAAGATGTTTAGCCTTTCCAACCTGTGCCCCGGATGAGTTGTGTTAAAATTTGTACCATCCCCAGAAGCATGGCTGTGTGTCGTCCAAAACATCTGGGGGGTGCAAGGTTGGGGAAGGTTGCTGTGCATGCAAAACGTGTCTGGTTATCCAGGAATTAAGAGCCAGACTTTTATGAGCAAGATGCTCAAGGCAAAAGATGCAAGGATTTGTTAAATCCATTCCTTCTGGGTTTTGCAGATTTGCAGGTGTTGTCTTCAGTTGTCTGCTCATTGACTGTGTTGGATTTTTCTCACTTTCCCGAAGTTGTATTCACTTCAGAAGGTGTGCACTTGTGGAAGTGTTTACTTCTAAGGTGAGCTAAGCACCCCCTTGCATATTTTCATTCCTAAACCTATGGGAGAAATGGGGGCTTTTAGTTGCTCTTTTTATTTTATTTTTTATTAATTTGTCTGATGAAATTTGCATTAATTCCAGAAAGCTGAAGTCTAAAACCCTGTGTGACTTGGGAAAAGCCAACCTGGTGTGGAATCTTGGGGTTGCGCATCCAGAGATCTCACTCTGGGTTTCTCTGCTGTCCCCTTGCCAGGTTGGGGTGGGCGAAGGCCAAATTCAGTCGCAAAGCATATCTTTGACTCTTATTCCAGCGGCGGTTGCAGGCAAAGAGCCCAGAATGTAGAACATCTCATCACTTCTTCCATTGATTAAGTCTTGCAAGTCACCACGTAGCCCAGTAAGATGGACTGCGGGGGACAACCGATCCCAAAAGCCAGGAAAACGCCAGGGATGGGGCAAGGAGAAAGGGATGTGGCCAGCTGCAGAGCTTGTGTCATTATGGAGCACCACCATCTTCCGGGCCCTCTGCAAGGCATGGCTTAACACAAACAGCTGATTGTGATGTGGATCTCTCAGCTTCACACAGAATTCTGGTGCAGTGGCCACTTGTACACTCCCGTGTTTGGATGCTCAGGAAAGAGGGAAACCGGTTCCAGGAGGAAACCAGCTGACACTCTAAATATGAGTAATTTCATCTTCGTTCTTGGACAGTCCTAGTGCCCACAGGAGCACTAGCAACAAACGAAAGCTTCCAGTGCTAGATTGTTGGGTGGGTTTTTTTTTTTAGTTTTTAGTTTTGCCTCTTAAAACAAGGAAATAGTTTGAGGCCATGTTTTAATTAAAATGAATATCTGTGCTATCGTAATGTTATTGCCAGTTAAGTGTAGTGAGGTGATTTAGCGTTCTATAACACAATTATGTGCCAGTAATGAAGCTCCGTAGAATTATCCTCGGAATTTAGCATGCAGAAGGGAGCCGTAGCTCTCATTTGTATCCATGTTACAGGCTTTTATTGTTGCAGTATTTTCTATTTCCCTCCAAGATTAACTCAATCGTATTTAAGTCTCTAGTTACATTACAGAGAAATCCAGTAAGGAGGACTGCTGGAAATGTTTTCCTCTCTTGCAAAGCTTTGAAATGTTATTTGCTAAATAGGGAAGTGAGATTCCACCTCTGCTGCAGCTAATGACACCGTTAATACAGAGAACCCATCCTGAAGAATAAAAGGATAAGTGAAAATACAAACATCCCCCACCCTTTTTGGCAGTTCAGGGTTAAGGGAAGCTGAAAATTTAGGACGCTGGGTTCTTCCTTAGAACAATCGCCTTTTTTTCTTTCTTTTTTTGTTTTTGACTGCCACATAGTGGGCAGGAAGCATCACCCTCACTCTGTTTTGGCTTCAAATGTTATCACATAGCAAAATTGCATTTGCTGCTACCTCATCTTGAAGCCAGTTTGGAGTGAGAGCAAAGCCTCCTGCTCTTACACGGGCCTTTTGTGAGTAAATAATAAAATAATATAAATAAGAATATAGCACTTGATAACAGTACAACTGCCTCTGCTTCAGGGAACATAAGTAGCCAGCAAGTGCCCAGTGAAACATTTCAATCATGAAATCTTTTCCCCACACATCCAATGCTCCTAGCAAAAAAGTTTTACCAGGAATGTTCAACTCAGCTCCAGAGCACACCGAAAAAATATATTGGTGCGTTAGGGAGAAAGGGATCAGACATTCCTTGGGTCTGAAGTACAAAGAGACATACCTGTCTTGCTGATGCTATTTTCGTTGTCAAGGCCTGTGCACCAAGTCCAGGAATGCCAGGAATTCCTTCTTTGCATGAAGTATGAAACTTGTGCGACTCTTTCTGCAAAGGACACAAGGCCCGGAAGTCATGAGTGTAGAAGCAGAGCTTCACTTGCGCAATGCGTGTGTGCATAGCAGGTAGCACAAGCTGACCCCACTGGCTCTCTTGGACTCACTTTGCCCGTACAAACACACAGTGTGCAGGAACTTGGAGCGGAGAAAATGTGGGTCAAACTCCAAGGAGCTGAGCTGAGAAAATCCGACAGGCTCCCACCCCGAGACTGGATTCCTTACACATCAGCAGCACGCGGTTCCTCTGCTGATCTTGCAGAGATCACCACGAAGCAGCCAAACAGGGACTTGGCTCTGCATTTGACTGGCAGAACTGAACCATGCAGTCTCCTCATTGCACCTGTTCTGTTTTCTGGGGTGATGTCTGAAACTCTGAAGACCCATAACTGATCAGTACTGTTGGATAACTTGAGCAAGTGGACTCAGAGGTAGGAATGGAGAAATTTGTTGATCACCCCATAAACATTTTTGGCAAAGTTGAAGCTGTCCATTTCTTCCTAGTGATCAAAGATGGGCCTTGCCCTTCCGTCTACATTCATTCTTGATGGAACAGCCCAAGGAGAAGTTGACTTGAAGGGTTAACTTTTACTTCCTGCTTCAATTTCTGCACTGCACATCATGAACTTCATAGTCATTTCCACATTCAGTTTCTTCTTTGTGTCTTTTTTTTTAAACAGAAGTGCAGAGGAAAACCTATTTGCTTCTGGCAGAGTTCCTATGTAGGTGGAATTGTCACATATTAAATTTGCTTTCAGTCAATGGGGGAAAATAACCTCATAAAAAGAATGAAAAGCATCTTTAGAAAAAAAAACCTCCAAGTTCGAACAATTCTTCCTTAATAATAAAGCTTTAGCATTGCAAAACAGGTTGACTTCTGTCTTGAATGAAAAGGAAGAGAAAGCAGGGCTAAGTTCTTAAGGAAAAAACTTATTGGCTTCTTGAGGAAACTTTAAGGAGTGGGATAAAAGGGGGAGAAGACCACAGCAAAAAAAATCTATGAAGTAGTAAGACAGGACGAGCCTTTCAACCATTCTTTCATGTGAGTTTGCTCTCCCTGAACATAAAGATTCAGTTTAAATGCTTCTGTCTCCATGAATTACGCCTAATACTCATTTAGTCCTATTTAAGCCACTGGCCATGAATGCATCTTGTGGCTTTGAAATCTATAACTAAATTCTGAACTGAGTAAACGGATACTTTTTGTCTGTCCTAAAGTACTGCCCATCAGTTTCATTGGGAGAGTCAACTTCTATTCAGGTGCTCTGGAGCTGAGCTAGCCGTACTTTGTAAAGACTCATTTCCACCACCTTCTACATGTGGACGGTGACCTTATGAATGAGAGAGTTTCCTATATCCCAGGAGGGCCTCTTCATGATGTTAGATACTGATATTTCACTGCTCCATGAGTGTCGTTGTAAAGCCTCTTTCCACGGAGTGGCGGAAATGTGTGAAGAGAAGAAAGGGTACTATTTTGCCTCTACTCACACATCTAACCTGCAGAGTTTCTGGATGCCTGATTGCAACCTCCGAGTTCTAGTGAAGTGGCCATGATGGGAATATACTGCTACACTTTTCTCCCACACAAAGTAAAATTTTATGAGCATCTTCCACAAGGACCTCCCTCTGACAGAGGACTCCAGTGCCCATCAGCCCAGCCAACATGGACAGGGAAAATGGAAATGTCATCCCAACAACCTGGAGTTTCCCTACTCCTGCTCAATTCTGTTCTACACAAGTTGCCTTCGACAGTGACCGCTAAACGAAAGCCGTTCAGTGCAGAGACGCACAGCCATCAAACCTGCTTCGGCATCTCAGCAGAACAGGAGCTGTTGGGGTTGCATTTTTATTCCTTTTGTATAAACAAGGAGGAAGATAAGCTATGACAGTGTTATGATGCCTTGAAGCTTGCAGGCAAAGAGTTTTCATTTTTTTTAATTTCTCCCATTTAGCTTAATTTAAATTTTACTTAGAGGTAATTGGAATGAATTAATAGACTGACAATTACACCAAAAATATATCCATTAAATGTGTAGAAAATCTAGTAATATGGGAGCAATTTCATGGACAGATAACAAAATAAACTGAATACTACTAGCACCACCACAACTACTAATAATAGCAATACTAATGATAATAATAAATCTATTAATGAATGTAAGCTGCTATTTATGAGAGATTATTCCAGAGGAAGATAACCTCCTTTTATTTTATTGATGAGCAGAGTTGAAACGTTGATCCCTAATGAGGCATGGATTCCAATATCACTCCACACTGGAAATCCTGTGCATTATTTTCTGCGTGGCTGCCCTACATGTCCATTTGACGCAGTGCTGCTTTTCAGAACAGCTGCCGTGATCATGGCTGGAACTGGGCAGAGCTACAGGTGCTCTGCATGGGTGAGCATGGAACAGGTGCCAGGTTCAAGCCTCAGAGTCTCTCCTTAGGACTAGGAAGACATCCCAGGATCCTGCTGCCAGTCAGTGTTTACAGCACTGGGCTGAAGGCACCAACGGCTCGACTCCACATCGGGCGGTATTTGGTGCTCCTTTGCCCAGAGCTGCAAGACTGATGGAGATTGAGGAAAACTGAGGACCAGCAGTCACAGGTCAGTGGTCAGTACTAACGAGCTAGCCGTGAATTTTATTTATTTATTTTATTAAAACATTTCTATGCCGCCCCTTGCCGTAGCCTCGGGGTGGCTCACAACATAATAAAATACACAATAAATTAAAACAATAACAATTAAAATACATACATTGGAATAAAATTAGACCAAGACATTGGATGATTGATTATATTTAGGTCTGCCTGGCACCGTTGTTACTTGTTTTTCGGTGCCAGGTCAAGACCTTTTTATTCAAACAGTATTTTAATAATCTTTAATATTTATAGTTTTAATTGTGTGGCCAGTGTGTTTCCAAGTTTTAATTGTAATTGTATTGTTTTATTTATTTGTTGATGTGAGCCATCCCGAGGCTATGTACCAATGGGGACGGCATAGAAAAACTTTAAATAAATAAATAATAAAAATGTATATCTCATTGTTTTTCCCTCTAGATGGCATATATAAAGCTCTCACTCCCCTCTATTTGATCCTCACATCAACAACCTTCTGAAGTACGCTTGGAGCCAGCAACTGGCCAGAATTTACCCATTGCATTCCATGACTCAGTAGGGACTTGAACCTGTGGGGTCAAGGACTTGCTAATTTTCTGCGTTGAGGGATTCAGGCTACGGAGTCCATCACCTAGCCAATAAGCTCTTGCTAAGCGGTTATGAAGGGAAGTCAGAATGAAGGCAGCGCCTCCTGCCCTTTCTCTGAAACAGCTTCATGATGTCATCATGTGGAAACGCCTGGTTTTGTGATGATGCAGTGAAGCCGTGGCAGCAATGAAATTCCAAATGAGCTTGGACCCCACCTGGAATGAACTCATGTTTCTTAATGGCACTCAAAACTGGATCAAAGGAAAAAAGCCATTCCAAATAAGGAGTGAGCTAGCCACATGCAAGAAAGAGTAAGCAAAAGGGTTTCTGATTTGTGAACGCTACCAAGCTGTTTACTTTTCTACAATATCTTCCATGGGTGTATATTTGGCTTGGTAAAGCCCACATTCCTCCATTCCAAATAGTAATCTTTGCACCAATGAGCAAGTTCCACGTGATGGGAAAAATTCAGAGCAGCCAATCTCTTGTTTATGGACTTTGGCTGTTCAGCCATCCTCATTCTTGCAACAGCTTCTTTATTTAATCTGCTATATGACTACCATTGTTCTATAGAAGATCTTCCAGTGAGGAAGCAGGTAGGTCTTCTCAGAGCTGGGGTCTGTTAATTCTTGGCTTCAAACCATTGAACCAAGAACCAAAGTTCAGGCTATGAAATGATTCACAACTAAACACCGAGTTCCATCACATTTTAAGCACTTTCTACAGCATAAAAATCTCCTGCCTTCAAGCTTTTTGGCTAAGACTTTGAATACTGATAGCTTTCTATGCATTATTAACTTAATTGTACCAAACATACATTCTGGAATTCTCATTAATATGTTCTTGTTTGAAAAAAGGAGGAGAAAAAAGACCATCTTTATCCTTGAGCAGTGAACTGAATGTTCAGCTTCATAAAAATGGACTACTTTTAATGAGAGAAGCCAATTCCTTCCAGATCATGAGGTAAATTTCTAGCCAGCAGTTTCCTGCTCAATTCAGGCACAAGACGAAATTTGCTGATGGCAAGAGTTGCAGGCTGCAGAGCTACTGTTTTGCATTCAGGACGATTCTCCGATTGTGCCTTGTTTCTCCTGTGGTATGTGGATATAGGGAAATATTTAAAGAAAAGATCAAACCTACTTCAGGATGTGATGTTAAAATATTAATCCCCCACCTCTCTCTCTCTCTCACACACACACACAGCACAGAATTTTAACTATCACTTTTATAATAGATTTTAGGAGCGAATTTTGTGATTATAACACAATAAGCTGTGATGTGCTAGACACCGAACACAACATTGGAGGCCTTCCTTCAAGTCTCTCCTATGATGGAGGCTTGGGTGGTAGCGACAAGGAAGTGGGGGGGGCTTCTCTATGGCAGCCCCCAAATTACGGGATGATCTCCCCAGGGAGACCCTCCTGGTGCCAACTCTTTCAGCACCACCCTCCAAGCCAAGGCATTTAGCAACTCTAAATCAAGGGACAGGGTAAGTTCTGGCAGATGTTGCAAAGACCTAGCTGTATGAACTGATTTAGCTGATTAAAAATAGGGTGGATCTATGAATTGTAGCACATTTTCCAGAGACTGTTAACCATTGGGTGGTATAGAAATAAAATGATGAATGTACGAGAGAACAAAATAAGCAAAAGAAAATGTTTGTGCAGCAGACTTGGACAGAAGAGCTGATGTTTACTTTGGATCAGCTTGTCGATTCTGATTATAATTTTTTGCCATTCTCCGCTTTGCAGGCTAAATATAAATGGCCGAGCTACGGCTGCAGGGCAATGCTTGCAACTGGAACATTTGTGAAGATCTGGGTTTGGTCCTGCTGCTCTTCACGCTTCTAAGCCTGCTATGCTATTGGAAGATCCGACTGAGGCTAAACAACGGCATCAGCCTACAGTTCATGTGCATAAATACCTATTATCGCTGAATAAACATGCTACACGGGATCTCCACCAAGAACGGGACAATGAACTGGGACACGCCGTCAGTGGAGTGCTTGATATTTATTTTGAAAGGGCTCAGGGCTCTTGGGTTCAAAGTAGTTCAGCTGAAATTGATGTTTCAAGTTTGGCATGTCTCTTTGATAAGGACTTAATTAAATCAGCAGGTTGTTGGAGGTACAATGCCGCTAATGCTTCTCTTCTTCCCAAATTTTGGCAATTCCAATGGCCAATTCCTTCTGGGAGGAGGTAATAATTCAGATAAATCTTTATTTGTTTTATTTTATTTTATTTTTGGGTTTATATCCTGCCTTTTTCCTACAAAGGGTTCAAGACAGCTTACATCATTCTCCTCCTCCATCTTATCTTCACAACAACAACCCTGTGAGGTAGGCTGGGCTGAGAGTCTGCGACTGGCCCAAAGTCACCCCGTTGGCTCCATGGCCGAGCAGGGACTCGAACCCGGATTGCCTGAGTCCCAGTCCCACGCTCTTCACCACCACACCACACTGGCTCTCAAATCTTGTGCTGGAAAGTCCTTTATTCTTCAAAGACACACATATTCATTCGAATTACCTTCTTTGGAATTACTCCTTGTCTCTTGGAATTTATCGCAAGATTGATGTAAATAGATTTTCCTCACCCTTTTTGCACCTGAAGAATGCATATGAAATAGTGGAAAGATAGAGAGATAAACTGCCTTAACACAATGGGCCTCACTCCGTTTCCATGTTTCATTTTCATAGAACTGTAGAGTTGGGAGGGCCCTTAGAGATCATCTGATACAGGCCACTGCTCAATGTAGGATGAACCTACAGGGTCTGACATGTCTTGAGTGAAGTCCCCCACCTCTTGTACGAAACTGTTCCAATGACAATTGGGCACTTTTAAGAGCGTGTTTCTGCATAGTTTAAGCACAGATTCTAGTCTTGCCCTATGGAACAGCACCAAGTAGTTATGCTACATCACATTTTGAAGATCCAGAAGTGTATTTACCATTCTGCATTCCAAAACTGTTTTGATTTGTTTTGGGATATGGTTTTTTTTAAAAAAACGTTCTTCAGTAATATACACATACAGTGAAATATGTATGGTGGGACCATTTCCTCCTTGCGATCGGAATAAACAATATGCCTGGGTGGATACAATATTAATCAATATCTAATTTCATAGTTGGGCAACTGTTTTTAATGACTATGTGCTTTTGATACTTTGTTGCAAACAAAGAGCTTCAGTTCATTCCCATAAGCACTTGTCAAGGAAAGGGCAAATTCATTTCCTTGTCATCATGTAGAAGCCAAAAGGCTCATTAGGCTAATTAAGAAGAGGCTCATTGGGGCTTCTGCTCATTCAAAAGTGGCAGAATTTCCATCCTTCAGGGGTCATAATGGGAGTCCCCCATACTTATCAAAAATTGGAGACTGAAATCGGTTAGGGAAGAAATGCAACTTAGCAGCACACCAGAAAGCATCCCTAACTCAGCGCATAATTCATGAACATCCACGGGCCTCACATCACAAACCATGTGGCCACCAAGCATGCTTTGCATTATGGATGCCCCACTCGAGTTACGTGGGATCTTTCTCCAACGCGATTCACAAGTAGCTCTTTTCTTCCAAAGCTTCCAGTATCATCTCTCGAAAACCACATTCGGGAAGAGTTCACCTATTTCAAGTGCTCGTCTCAGCGGGGCTCTGCCCTATTTCATTGGCTCTTTCCTGGTCAAGCCAGGCTATGACATCAAAAAGCAGTTAGGTCTGACGAGATCCTGGAAGACATGATGGCCTCACCTCACCCTCTGGGGGTATCCAAGGCCAAGATCTGGAGCGTGCATGGAACTGGTCTCTGCCTTCTAAGAAGGATCGGTGGGTGGAAAGTCTCAAGTTGCCAAGCACGTGTTGCATTCTTAGAGCTACGCTTAGCATATTGTTCGACTGGAATGGATTGATGGCTAGACAGATGGTTGCTTCAGTAGTGATTGCTTTTTGGTGAGGACCGAAGCAACAAAACACCTTTCATCGGTTCCGCAAGGACCTCAGTCATACCTCAGTCATACGTCCCCTCCATTGTTACTCCTTCTGTTCAGCTACAAGAGGTGAGAGCAACAGGTCTTCTCCATCTGCATGTTGTCATTCTTTGCAAAGTCCTGCCCAACCCATCACGACCCCATGGACAACACTCCTCCAGGCCTTCCTGTCCTCCACCATCTCCCGGAGCCCACCCAAGCCCACACCCTCCGCCCCAGTGACTCCATCCAGCCACTCCACCCTCTGCCATCCCCTTCTCCTTTTGCCATCAGGGTCTTCTCCAGGGAGTCCTTCCTTCTCATTAGGTGGCCAAAGTATTTTAGCTGGAGTCAATGTCCAGGTGGCCTCCATGAGCCACGACTCCACCTGATTACCATTCATAATGGATCCATACAAAAGGGAGGTTATCTGAATTTGCTTTTCCCTCTCTGTCCTCCCCAGTTCTTTATTTCCCTTTCCTAGCACAGCCCTTAAATTAGTATAAAAATCATGATTAGAGAATGTAAAATGCCTTGAATGGTTTGGTAGAAAGGTGAAGCCTACAACTAGACAGATAAAAAAAAAGATATATCGATAACAGAAGTTTTTATACAGTCTCTGGACTAATGGACTAACAGCCAGTTCAGGATCACTCTGAATTAAGTTCCCCTGAGTTCAAGGAAAATTACTACTAAGCATGTAAGAAAAAAATGGCCACCCACACGTTCCTGGCAGATATGGGCATTGTAATATGCATTGTAGGTGAAGGACCACTTAAATTAAAAATAATAATTCTCTTGCTCTCTCATTTATGTCTCCCTTTGTTTCACTTTATGCCCACATACACCGAAGATTTAAAATTATGCACATCCTTAATAAACTGCATCCCCTGACAAAATCAATGCAAAATCAATACCGTGTTTCCCAAGGTATGCTTTATCTAAACTTCTATGTGGAAATGCTGAGAGTATATTTCCATTGTCTATAAATGAGTTTCTATTTTCCTTATTTCTGTGAATCCTATTAAAAATAGGCTTCACCATGAGTAATGCATTCTTTATCTTCTTAGGGTATGGTCCTATCACCTTCCGATGTTCCCTGAAGGAGCTTCTACAACCTTGGAGCTGAGACTCGGAAAACTACAGCTGACATAGAAAGAAATGTACTGAATGCCACTTCGAGGACACAGTCCGGAAGGTACAGTGGGGAAGGTACAGGCACTGATCGGAGGAGAACGGGGCCCATGCGTTCCACCCGCCCCTCCTTGTGCTCCAGCCTTCCTCCTTCCGCCTCCCTTGTTCTGAATCTTGATGGCCAAAAATTGCCACATAGATGAACTGGGTGATGGTGCTGCTGGATAGCAATGCCTGAGGAATCCAGTTTGGTGGTGGGGATCTACTGGTTGTCCCTGGCTCCCCACACTCTGGCCCATTTGCACCAAGTGTTGAGGTGGGTATCTGGCCGGATGTGAGTGCTTTCCTCCACCCACATGCCTTCTGTGAAGGTGAGGTTCTGCTTCCATATACATGACTTCAGGATGTTGCGTACTTTGCTCAAGGAAGGGACTGCCACCACCCCGAGGGTTTGCAGATGAGCTCTTGGCCCGGGCTGAACACTGACGTGCAGAAGAGCAAGGTTCCCTCGTGGTGGGAAGGATCCTTACCATTACCTCTCCCTCCACACACTGGATGTGCACAAGCCTTTGAGATTGGGGAATTATTTGCATCTGAATTGACTTTGGATTGTGCATGGGATAAAAATATCCCTTTTCCAAACAGATGCTGGGTTATAAATATTTGTCTGGATAATGATGGCAACTGTATAATCTCATCCATTTAAGCGTATAGGTTCAGCACAAACCAGGAGATGACAATGATGAAGAAGACGAAGACGATGATATTTATACCCCACCTATGTCCAGAGATTAAGAATATTTAGTTCACATCAGCAATTCCATTTCTTTCTGGTTTGTTTACGATCATTGTTCCTCATCCTCACTTCAAGAACCCTTCTGGGTATTTCGATGCCATCTTATTTATTGGTAAGGTTTCTATACCGCTCTATATTCCAGTACGGAAATTGCAGAGTGGTGTGCAATGCAAGAGAGAACAGATAAAAAAGAACGGACCAGTATATTTAAGGCAGCATCAGTCTGCTTTCATATAGTCTGAATTGCTTGATCCGGCCAAATATGGAAGCTAAGCAGGCTTGGTTGAGATCTGGATGGGTGACCAAAATGTTGGGAACTGCCCAGAGAGATTTGACTACAAAACTTATGTTGTTGTTAGTCGCAAAGTCACGTCCAACCCATCACGACCCCATGGACAACCTTCCTCCAGGCCTTCCTGTCCTCCACCATCCCCTGGAGTCCACCCAAGCTCACGCCGACTGCTTCCGTGACTCCATCCAGCCACCTCTGCCTCTGCCGTCCCCTTATTCTTTTGCCTTCAATCATTCCCAGCATCAGGCTGTTCTGCAGGGAGTCCTTCCTTCTCATTAGGTGGCCAAAGTATTTGAGTTTCATCTTCAGGATCTGGCCTTCTAAAGAGCAGTCAGGGTTGATCTCCTCTGGGACTGACCGGTTTGATTGCCTTGTGGTCCAAGGGACTCGCAGGAGTCTTCTCCAGCAACAGAACTTATAATATCATCATCATCATCATCATCATCATCATCATCATCATCTGTCTGGTTGGTCTAGGAAGGCTTCCTGAAATAATAGTTTTTGGGAGGAGGTTTAAAAAAAATACACTGCTGGCACCTGCCTGACCTCCAGAGGCAGGGAACTCCATCAAAAGTGGCCTCCATACTGAAGGTTCTTCTCAAACTGGGCTCCACTTGGGCAACACGGACAGATCTGCCTTCACAGTGAAACTTGGTAGCCCACTCCTTTTGAGGAGGGCAAGCTAGAAGAGATGCACTCAGTTTCGTAACACCTGGAAACTGAGGGAACTAATGAGGGTTTATGCTCTACAAAGTTTGTATAGAAGTCAGAGATGCTCAGGTCTTGAATAATGTTCTGCTCAACTATTCCTGTTGGGAAAGTAAACCAAGTGTATGCACTGAGAAGGCAATTAATACATGTTCTTGAGGAAACTCAAGATGTAGTAAATCAGACATATCTCTGATAACCCAGCCTGTAGTCTATCTCTCTTATATCTCACATTTTGCTTCGACACAAGCTGAAGGCTGTACCTGTTGTAAATCAACATCAAGCAAGCAAATGAGACAAGCGTTTGCTAAATGGTGCATCTGTGATTGTTCTAATTTGCATACATAGTAATTGGGTAAGTTTCTATTTCCCTCTCTATAACCAAGGAATACTAAATATGCAATGGGCATTTCTTTGTGGGTGGAAATACTTGTACCTTTGAGGGGAAACTTCACCAGCTCAGGGCTTTTCCTGTAATTGCTGGTGTGCTCACTTCCTACTTACTCAGATGACCCTAAACGCAGAGTGGAGCTCCTTTCCTTCCATGCTTGTCTGAAAGGTCTTTCTTTCTTTGGTTGCACCAAGAAGCCTTGAAGAAATGTGTGTTGGCTTGACGTTTGCATAAGAAAAGTAGGAGAGGGGAAGTTTTACTTGACAGCCTAAACACAAAGTGACCCAGGGGCCAAGTTCTGGCAACGCCTTGAATTGGGCCCAAAAATGAAGGCCAGGCAGCACCAGGAATCACAGCCCACTTGTACTCAATGAGCTCTGGGTGTCTCACCAACTTGGGGGTCTAAAAGAGCCTTCTTCCTGGCTTTGTTCTGCAGCTTCTTTAAGGAAGGCCATGGTGTTTATTTGCATGCTTGGGGGTGTTTGTTGTTGTTGTTGTTTGTTTTTAATGTGGGGGGGGAACGGTTGTGCGTGTGTTGAAGTCAGGGGAATTTGTGCCACTCCAACCACAATTTGGGCAATTTGTGTAAATTCTGCCTGCAGTTTGCACAGTTTGTATTATGCAAAGCAAGCCAATGGTGATTGGAATTTATGTGAATTTCCCCAGCATTTTTTTAAAAATGCAAATTGCAGCCGTCTTTCAAACTAGAAGATCTCGTGGCAGCTTGATTCACATCAGAGCAAGTCAGCAAAGCACCGAGTTTGCAGGCTGGACTCTATGGGACCAATCCACACCAATCCACTGGAATGTTGTGGTCCAAAGCACTTGGACTAGGTGAGCCTAGCTCTGAGTGAGCCTAGGTCTGGCCCACCCATCTTCTAGGTCTGGGAGAGCCTAGCAGATGTCAGGAAGTTCAATCATAAATATTCATTTATTTAAATATAGGTACTACATTATTCATCAAAATGATCCTCATAATTGATTTAAACCTTGTGTTTTAGATTACGAGGATTTGGCCACAGTCCTTCCTGGTTTAGGTTTGACCTCAATCTATCTGGCTTTGGCCAGCATTGCTGTGGTGGGAACCTCATTCCAAACATAGATATGTAAACATTCACCGGTAGGAGACGAAGTAGTCTAAAAAAACCCAGAGTGAGAGATTTCCCCTACCAAGCACTTTTTGCACATAATTTTGAATTTGGTCTGTTCCTGGATGCTCAGCTGGGCTTGTATTAGAGCAGCGAGACTGAAACACAGGATCAATGGGAAGAATATTCCCGCAAAGTCTTTGGATGCCAGAGGCAAATCATTAAATAACTAAGTAAAGGCAGCTGCCCTCTTGCCACCTCCCTCACTGCCATGACATCTCCAATCGCCCATAAAAGTGAACTCAGATTTCTGGAGTCTCTCATCAGATTAAAAATGGAGCACTGCCTTCTCCACAGTGACCACTTAGACCAGTGGTGGCAAACCAATGGCACGTGTGCCGCAGCGGGCACGCAGAGCCCTCTCTGTCGGCACGTGAGCCAAGTCGCCCCAAAACCCTTCCCAAAAAAAGAGAGAATTCATAGCTAAAGCAAGAGATTTGTGTGTAAATGCTTCGTTGTTCTTACGTGCTGTCAAGTCATCCCTGATTTTTAGTGACCCTGTAAGTGAGCACGCTCCAGAATGTCCCAACCACAACAGCCCACTTCAGCTCTCCCAGATCCATTTCTGTCCGCTCCCTCATGAAGCCCATGCATCTCACAGTTGGTCTTCCTTTACTTCTTCCGCCTTTGACTTTCCCTAGCATGACTGTCTCCTCCAGGGAGTCTTTTTTCTTTGGATGTGACTCAATTGTGATGTTAGGCTTGCCATTTCTGCTTCTGAGGTGAGCCGTGGCATGATTTGCTCTTGGACGCACTTGCTGGTCTATCAGTCCAGGGTATTCACAAAGCTCTCCTCCAGCACCGTGTTTCAAATGCATCCATTTTCTACCTGTCAGCTTTCTTCACTTCCAGCTTTTTCACCATGTGTTGCGATCAGGAGGAAAGACAATAGTGTGGATGATCTTGGCCTTGGTCAAGGTGAAACCATGGTCTTTCTGAGTTCCTTTTATGTAAAAGTTGTTGTTGTTAGTCACAAAGTCGTGTCCAACCCATCGTGACCCCATGGATAACATTCCTCCAAGCCTTCCTGTCCTCCACCATCTCCCAGAGTCCAATTAAGCTCACACCCTCCACCCCAGTGACTCCATCCAGCCACCTCTGCCTCTGCCGCCCCCTCCTTATTTTGCCATCTATTGTTCCCAGCATCAGGCTCTTCTCCAGGGAGTCCTTCCTTCTCATTAGGTGGCCAAAGCTTTTGGGTTTCATCTTCAGTTTCTGGCCTTCTAAAGAGCAGTCAGGGTTGATCTCCTCTAGGACTGACCAGTTTGATCGCCTCGTGGTCCAAGGGACTCACAGGAGTCTCCTCCAGCACCACAATTCAAAGGCCTCAATTCTTCGGTGCTCAGCCTTCCTTATGGTCCAACTTTCACTATGTAAAGGTACAAATCTGTAAATAATTGCTCTAATTTAAATGCAAATGCAGCCATTTCATCAGGGTGTGGAGGACCACAACCAGGTTCCCAGGTGCTTGGCAGGTGCTCTGCCATTGGGTCCCCACAGCTGAAAGCCAACACCATGAGAACAGGCAGGGTACTTTGTGAAGTTGTGTGAACACATTCCCTGTCTCCTCAGAAGTACAATGTGGCTAGGAAATCCAACATTAATGTTGTTTGTTGCTGTTTTTAAATCACAGAGCGACAATTCCACAAAACAATCCAACGAAAATGACTGAAACGGTGGGATGAAACCTTTGCACTGTCTTTTTCCTTACATGCTGTGGCATCACTTG